TGTTTTGTTTTGTTTTTGTCTTTTTGAGACAGGGTCTCCTTGTACAGTTCAGGCTGGCCTTGAGCTCACTTTGTAGCCCAGGCTGGTCTCAAACTTGCAACAATCCTCCTGCCTCAGCCTCCCAAGTGCTGGGATTACAGGCATGCACCACCACGCCAGGCTCTTGCTTTTTTGAATCATTTTGTGTATGACTGCTATATAACAAAACCAGTAAAAGTAAATAGAATCAAGAAAACTTCCCCAAGAAATCCCTAGGAACCAATTCCCTTGGCATGCTTAAGGACTTGAGAGGATTTGGAGAGGAAAAAAATCCATACCATGAAGTGATAAGCAGATGTTTCCCATATGTTGTGTGCAGATAAGATCTTTTGGCTTAGATAATACTTTTTCTTGAGGTTTTGTCGTTTTAAATCCAGTTGTCCATTCATGTCTCTGAGACAAATCACAAAAAACAAACAAGTTGAGCCTAAACTTCCATTGAAGTAGTGCAGAAACAGGAGATTTAAATTTGCACTGCTACTTTTAAAGCGATTCATAAAAATAAGACATAGTTTTTATATGTCCACCATCTAAATGCCTTCATACCCTCTGGAATGTGAATACATTCCTCTCCACTTTTTTTTCGGTGCAGTTTCATTTAGGTTCACGCTCACGACACCACTTACTTTTCATTTAAACATCATCCAAGCGTTGCTTCGCATCAGGAATTCTTTCCCTCTCAAGGGTGTGATCTGGTTACTGTCAAATGTTCCTCTAGCCCCCCTGGTGCATTACTCAGAAAAAGTTTCACTAGATAATAATACTGATCATGTCATAAACTATTCCCTTTTATGAAATCAGCTTAAATCATGCTTTAAGTGATTTTTCAGAGTAAAATACTGTGTTATTTTTAACAGACTTGGCCACGGTCCCTACCATTGATATGTAAGTTAAAGGTTATTGGATTGACAGCGGTGTCGTTTCTGGGTCTCATGGGCTACATCACCTTTCCCTTCTTGCTCCCCCAACAGGAAATGCCATGTTGTTGAGGGTATTACCTTCAGTGTATGAAAAGCAGCCTCAGCCAATTAACAGACACCTGACAGATCTCTTGGCCCTGATGTCTCAACTGGAGCAACCAGAACAGTACCACTTGCTACGGCTTTTGCATGTAGCAGCAAAGAGGAAACAACTGGAGGTAAAAATGTGTATGATTTTATAATGGCCCACATAGCCAGATGTGGATGCTTCTGGACTATATGAATAGGATATGTCATTAATGTCTCCTCACTATTTTACACACATCCATCTTCACATGAAAGGAATTACCTACTTACATACCTGTGAGATACACACTGTATCTATCCCATCTGTTTCCGCTGCAAACTAGAGACCCAGGAAAGCTAATATGGTAATATAGTTCTAGTTTAAGACCTAAATCCTGAGAGCTGTAGGTCCAGTGGTGTAAGTCCCATTTTGAGATCAAAATACCAGTGTTCCTGCTCCATCAGGCAGACGGAATTCTCCCTCCCTCTGCCTTTTAGTTCAATTTAGTTCCTCAACCACTTAAAGGGTTACCACCCACCATGAAATGGCAATCTGCTTTACTCAGTCTTCTCATTCAAATGAATGCTAATGTCTTCCAGAAAAAATTTCACAGACACACACAGAAATAATGTTTAAACAGATATCTGGGCACCCTGTGACCCAGCCAAGTGGACACATAAAATTAACCTTCACAGGTACCATGATGGAAAGCAATAAGCACAAAGTTTTACCTATGTGTGACTTTAAGGTAGTTTAATGTGGCTATGCAGTTCTAAGAATCCGTAGTTTCTCAGGTACAGCGGAGGAAAAGATCTCCACGTGACTTGTTTTTTGAGTAAATCAACCTTTAGTGAAAACAAAGGCTTATTTTCTAGGTAACATATAGGTTGTTCTTTGGGTTGAAGTGAAAGATTATAGCAATTAGGCTGTTTATGATTACTAGGAAGTGACTGTTCAAAACACACTGGTTTCAATAATGAAAGGAATTTATAGTTAATAGGATAGAATAAACATCTAAAATGTCAGGTGAGGCTTGGGTCAAGGGAATCAAAAATAAGAGCAAAATAATTTTTCTCTGTCCAGTTCTCAGGTTGGGTTTCTAGGTTCTGGCTTCCATTTTCTACAGGCTTTTTCCTTGGCATCTCCGGATAGGTGCTAGGGGTTCTGTGTACAGTGCTCCTCCAGCTTCCACCATCCCCACAAACATCCAGGCAAAATTCTTGTTATTCTGTCTGTTTAGTACACATGCTTCACACTGGGAGCTTCTCCTGAACTTTGCGGCTACCCAGATAGAAACAAGAGGATGCCGGGAAGGAGGAAGTAGAACTGAATTCTGGAGAATGCCAACACGTCTGCACAGTGAAGATTAATGACCAACCCAGCTTGTGTCAAGTGTGCTCCGTCTCTTTATGTGTGCTCAGTATCCACTGTTTGAAAAAATAGTCAACAATAAGGTGAAGAGCGGAGCATTTGTATTCAACACCCAAATTATTGAGAGAAAGACAAGAAGCAGCGGGCCGTGTACGTAATTAACGAAGATACACTGCAAGCTCCTTTGGGAAGGAATGATTTATTCTTTCCCTCAGCATCCTAGATCTTTGCCTAGTGTCTGATAGCGCTCAGTAAACATTCTCAGAAGCTAAGCAAATTACACAGGGTGATAAGTGCTTTGCAAATACAAAGAGAAAGGGAGGGGGAAATGGTCCCGTGAGCAGCATTAAGACCAGATCCTGATGAATGCAGTTTTGGGCAGGCAGAGCAAAGGGGCAAAGGGCCTATAGGAAGTGTGGCAGGGCTGGGCATGCTGGACAGTAGAGATCAGCCTCCATAGGATGCTTTGGATGAGACCCAGAGTGCTGGCTGATGTGTGAGCTCCACCCCTAGAGTTCACTAGTCTGGCGTGGACTCTCAAGTCTGCCTTTTCTTCTTTTTAATAAGCTCCCAGACAGTGATGCTGCCGCTCCAGGCACCACAGTTTGGGTAGCAAGGCTAGAGGCCGGACAGAGGACTGGAGCCCCCTATGCTGTGTATCTAGGGTACATCTTTGCTTCTGCTCTTAAAACAGTGTTACTACTTTTGCATATCTGTCTGTTCCAGTGCACTGTGACCTTCCTGAGGAGCATCAGTCTCATGTGTATATATTTGTATTCTTTACATAGTTCTGTGCATATAGAAGGGCTTCAGTAGTTGAACTAAGAGATGAATAAATGGCCAAGAGAGCAAAGAGAATAGAAACCACACAAACCAGTGAATATTCGTTATGGTGTCCAAAGACAGAAAGGTGGCCAACAGAATCACTGTCTAGCCAAGTAAGGGAGACTAGGGATGGGAACTGACCTTGGAAATGACAACTGGGGTTTGCCAGTGCCCCATGAGGGGCAATTTTGGTGGGCCTGGGTTGGGTGGAGACAGTCATTCATTGTGCATTGCATATGGAAGGGAAAGCAGGATTTGTGAATATGGACTGTGAATTAGTGTCTTAAAGTAACACAAATTTATTACCTTAGAGTTGTTCGGGTCAGAAGTCCACAGTGGGTGAGTGAGGCTGATTCCCTCTGGAGACTCCAGGGAACAACCTGTTGTCTTGCTTTTCCAGCTTCCGGAGGCTGCCAGCAGTCCGCGTCTCTGTCCACATCACTCCAACCTCTGTTTCTCTCATCAGTCTCTTTCTCTGGCTCTGGCTCTCCCCCGTCCCTCTTGTACAGACCCTTGTGATTGCACTGAGGCCACCAGAGAACCAGGATAATCGCTCCATCTCATGACCTTAACCTAGCCATGGCTACAGAGTTCCCTTTGCCACATAAGGTAGCATACTGATAGATTGTGGGGACTGGAACATGGGTATCTTCAGGGCCTACAATACTATCTACCGCAGGTGGAGTGTGGGGGCCAGGTGATATGCAGAATAGCGAAGGAGTGACTAAAAGGCCAAACTTGGCCTTATAGAGGCAGCTGAAATGCCATTTTCTCTGCAGCCATAAAAAAATAGCTATAAATTTCTTTCAAGAAAAGTTCATGAGGGATATGAGGAGACTATCTTAATTAAACTTATTTTCCACTGAGTAAAGGCTGGACATGAAGATAAATGTACCCTAAAGGAAGTTCACTTACAGAATGAAGGAGGTAAAAAGAACTTGGGGACACCCACTCAATATGGCCAGGTCCAAGGGTGAGCCACAGCTGGGATCCAGAGAGGTTACACTGGAACTTCCGGATGCCGGGAGAGCCAGGAAATGGCTATGAGGCCATTTAAAAGCAGGTCTCTGATTACTTTCAAGCTCTGTAACCTCTACAGTGTAGTTTGAAGACCACTGATGGACATTCTTTCCGGGCACTGAGGCTTTACACAGATGCTATGCTCTCCACCTGGAGGTTTTTACCTCACAACCACCACCCCTTCTTAGCTAACTATTCCAGTCCATTAGACAGCAGCTAAGCAAAACATAATGCTAGAAATGTTCTGCAATGCATGTGCACACACGCACATGCACACACCCCAGTTCCTACCATACTGAAATCTCACATTGAAGTGAATTTGTCTGCCCTCATCTTCTTCCTGAACTACCTTGACTGGATGCAGATTCTTGAGAAATGAGAAGAATTTTGTTCACCGCCATAGCCCCGGTGGCTGGCATAACACTGCTGTATAGGAGTCCTCTCAAACATTTCTTGGACAGGTAAATTAGTATTGGTGCCTAAATTTTCAGAGAACTTGATCATTCACCAAGTGCTGTTTTCACATCCAGTATCTCATTTAATCCTGAAAATAATTCTGTGATGCGTTTTTCCTCCATTTTACATCTGAGAAATAAACTTGCTCATCATCACACACATAGTAAAAAACACGACAGACCAAGGACTTGGAAACCAGTACCTCCCTTTACTCTCAACTCCCCGTCCCTTGGCCTGGAAGAATCTAAGCAGCATCAGTTGAGAAGCCTACAAGGGGAGTGGTTTTCTCAGGCTGATTCCATACACAAAGGGCACAGATAGCGGCTGAGCCCATGCCATGTACCAGGGACGGTGTGGGTGTTTTACAGACGTTACCTCATTTGTTACCCACAATAAGCCTTCTGATTTTATAAAACAATCTATAGATATATTTTTTTTAAAGAGCCAAAGGTTGGGAATGTTACAAACTGAGAGACACAGCGCCTGGGAGAGGTGGCTGCTCAAACCCGCCTCATCCTTATCACCTAAGTAGTTTCCACGTCTTCCTCTGACCATCACAGTCAGACTATCTTCCCTAAGACTCCCACAGAGAGTTTAAAGCAAGTTAGGCAACTTGTCCAAAACCAGACAGACAAGGCCAAGATACAGCATAAGCCTAGTCTAATTGCAGCCAATGAAATCTTTTTGACACTAAAAAATCGAGGCTGTAAGCCTGTGGGTTGTGAAGCGAAAGGGTTCCGGGGACACAGCAGGCAGTGGGAGAGATGACAGAGGGTGAGCCGCCACAGGAGAAGGAGGAGCGGTGAATGGGGTGAGGAAGAGAGTGCATGTAGATTCTGGCAGCGTGAAGGGCGAGTGTGGACCCCTGAATGAACAGACAGGACTTTGGAGGCCCTCCGGAGTGATGGGAATGACTCCGCCCACACCCCCATCTTAACGGGCAGGAAGCTGAGCAGCCATAACAAGGGTCCTGCCCAGCCTGCTCTCCTATCAGCGCTTCCTTCTTGTTAAACTGCCATCCTCCAGCTCGTCCTGCTGCTCTCCTACAACCTGCACTGACACAGGCCCAGAGACACAGAAGTGCTGGGTCACCTCCTCTCTCACCTGCTCCTTACACGTGGACAGGAACAAGGGCGGGAGGAAACGGAGAGAGCGTCTACTGCGAGGACAGGGAGATAAGTGGTACCAATCAGAAATGCAGACTGAAGTTTTCAACTCAGGTCAAATTAATTTCATTTCAGATGAAATAGGAGGCTCAACAGGGGAGCATCTGGCCCTGTGAAATTAGAACTAAAGTGGAGCTTTTGTTTGTGCGTGAAACCTCTACTGACTGGTACTAGGGATTGCACCTAGGGCCTTCACACAGACACATCCCAGCCTCTCCTTCTTTTTTTTTTTTTTAAAGACAAGGTCTCAAGTCACTGAGTTGCCCAGGCTGGGCTCAAACTTGTGATCCTCTGCCTCGGCCTCCAAGAATTC